TTTTGTTCTACTGACAGTGTCCTTTGCTTTACAGAAGCTTTTCAGTTTCATGTGGTCCCATCTATTAATTGTTGATCTTAGAGCCTGAGCTGTTGGTGTTCTGTTCAGGAACTTGTCTACTGTGCCAATGAGTTCAAGACTAATCCCCACTTTCTCTTTTAATAGATTTAGTGTATATGGTTTTATGTTCAGGTTTTTTATCCACTTGGACTTTTACTTTGTGCAGGGTGATAAATATGGGTCTTTTTGCATTTTTCTACATGTAGACATCCAGTTAGACCAGCACCGTTTGTTGAGGATGCTGTCTTTTTTCCATTGTATGGTCTTGGCTTTGTTGTTGAAAATCAACATGTGTCTGAGTCTCCAATTTGGTTCATTGATCAATCAGTTTGTTTCTTTGTCAGTAGCATGTGATTTTTATTGCTATTGCTCTGTAGTACATATTGAAGTGAGATGGTGATACCTACAGAAGTTCTTTTATTATTTTATCTATTCTGTATTTTTGTTGTTGTTTGTTTTTCCATATGAAGCTGAGAATTGTTCTTTCAATGCTGTAAGGAATTTTGGTGGTATTTTGATGGGAATTGCATTGAATTTAGAAAGGAAAATAGATTCCTTTTGATAAGATGGCTGTTTTTACTATGTTAATTCTACTGATCCATGAACATGGCAGATTTTTCCATCTTCTGTAATCTTCTTCAATTTCTTTCTTCAGAGACTTGAAGTTCTTGTCATATAGGCCTTTCACTTGATTGGTTAGAGTTTCCCCAAGATACTTTATATTGTTTGTGGCTATTGTGATTGGTATTGTTTCCCTAATTTCTTTCTCTGCCTGTTTATCTTTTGTATACAAGAGAGCTAGTTTTTCCTTTAAATTAATTTTGTATCCATCCACTTTGCTGAAGGTGTTTACCAGGTGTAGAAGTTCCCAGATAGAATTTTTGGGTTATGAATACCACCATATCATTCACGAATAGTGATATTTTGACTTCTTCCTTTCGAATTTGAATCCACTTGATCTGCTTTAGTTGTCTTATTGCTCCAGCTAAGACTTTAAGCACTGTATTGAAGAGATACAGAGAGAGTGTACAGCTTTGTCTTGTCCCTGATTTCAGTGTAATTACTTTAAGTTTCTTTCTGTTTATTTTGATGTTGGATATAGACTTGCTGTATATTGTCTTTATTGTTTTTAGGTATGAGTCTTGTATCCATGATCTTTCCAAGACTTTTAACATGAATCAGTGTTAGTCTTTGTCAAAAAGGTTTTTCAGCATCTAATGAGTTGATCATATGGGTTTTTTTCTTTCAATTAGTTTAGATGGTTTAGTACATTGATAGGTTTCTGTACATTGAAATACCCCTGCATACCAGGGATGAAGCCTATTTGGTCATGTTGGATGATATTTTTGATGGGTTCTTGGATTTGGTTTGTGAGTTTTTATTGAGTATATTTATATGTCAATATTCATAAAGAAAATTGATCTGAAATTCTATTTCTTTGTTGGGTCTTTGTATGGTTTAAGAATCAGGGTGACTGTAGCCTCTTAGAATGAATTTGGCAATGTTCCTTATTTTTCTATTTTGTGGAAAAGTTTGAGGAATATTGGTATTAGGTCTTCTTTAAAGATCTGGTAGAATTCTGCCCTGAAATCCTCTGACCCTGGTCTTCTCTCTCTCTCTCTCTCTCTCTGATTAGGAGACTTTTAATGACTGATTCTATTTCTTTAGGGGTTATAGGACTATTTAAGTTGTCTACCTGACCTTGATTCAACTTTGGTAAGTGGAATCGATCAAGAAAATTGTCCATTTCATTTAGATTTTCCAATTTTGTTGCATACAGACTTTCGAAGTAAGACCTAATGATTCTTTTAATTTTCTCAGTGTCTGCTGTTACGTCCCCCTTTTCTTTTCTGATTTTGTTAATTTGGATATCATCTCTTTGCCTTTTAGTTAGTTCGGTTAAGGGTCTGTCAATCTTGTTGATTTTCTCAAAGAACCAGCTCTTGGTTTTGTTGATTCTTTGTATTGTTTCTAATTTATTGATTTCAACCCTGAGTTTGATTATTTCCAGCAATCTACTCCACTTGGGTGTGTTTGCTTCTTTTATTCCCCTGGGGCTTTCAGGTGTGCTGTTAGGTGGCTAGTGTGAAATCTATCTGGTTTCTTTAGGAAGCTGCTTAGTGCTATGAACCTTCCTCTTAGCACTTTTTTCATCACATCCCGTATGTTTGGGTGTGCTGTGCCTTCATTTCCTTTGAATTTTAGAAAGTCTTTAATTTCTTTCTTTCTTTCCTGGCCCAGTGGTCATTGAGTAGAGACATGAGTTTGTAGAATCTCTGTTGTTTCTAATGTTGTTGAAGTCCAGCTTTACTTCGTGGTGATCTGATTAAATACAGTGGTTATTTCAGTTTTCTTGTACTGATTGAGACTTGGTTTCTGACTGACTATGGATCAGTTTTGGAGAAGGATGGATGAGGCAGTGAGAAGAATGTACTTCTTTTGTGTTTGGGTGAAAAGTTTTGTAGATATCTGTTAGGTCCATTTGATTAATGACATCTGTGAGCTTCATTATTTCTCTGTTTAGTTTCTGTATCAATGACCTATCCTTTGGTGACAGTGGGATGTTGAAGTCTTCCATTATTAATATGTGGGGATCAATATGTGAGTTAAGATTTAGTAATTTTTTTCAAATGTGGAAAAGAAAAGGAATAATTCTTTTACACTGGAATTTTTTGAGTTATGATCCATATTTAAGGTTCACAGAAACTTAACCTTCAATTGTTCTAATAGCTGAATTAAGAAACTAGAGGTTTTTTAAAGAAAATATAAAAATATAAAAAATGAAAATTATAAAAATGTAAAATTAAGATGTAGATAATTATAAAAGATGAAAGAAATAAAATCTTGGCCTTGAATGTACCACTTTTCTCCTTAATGAGCTCTTCTTTAGTTGGCTTAGATCTTTTAAAGATCATAGTGCTCCAGCCAGAGCAGCGCTTTAGAATTTAGCTGGGTCACAAGGACTTTCTCAGCACTCTGTTCTAATTTGCAGTTCTGCCATAATAAAAGCCATAAATATATTGCTACTGTCTAGACGTTTTATCTGAAACAAGTGTCCTTTGTAGTCTCAAAGGACTTTTCCATTTTATTTCCAGTAAATCAAAGTATGTGAAGAGCTTCAGTTCTTATTAAGACATACCCTTCACAGTCCAGTGACTGCCAACTGTGGCAAGCCATTGACAGTTCATTTGCATATAAGTGATGACTTCCATCAGGTAGTTGGCTCCAAAACACAATGGACATTTAGAACAGATCCAATATTTCTTCTTCTTTGATGAGCATCAAGTGCCAATTTTTATATAGAATCTGACTATTGAAAAGTGAGGGTTTCTTTCCCTGACCTTACACTGTCTTCCACAGTTTGAAGTGACATATTGTCAGTGGATTTAATGTAGGCCCACACTTATAAAAGACACTTAGTAGTCCAACTTCAGTTTGTTAAAAACCAATGAGAGTCAAAAGTAGGAGACAGAGACAAGAGAGATCACTTTTAAAAGCATATTATGCCCCTAATATTATATTCATATCTAAATTTTATTTTATTTTTATAAAGTACCATGGACATGATTTGATATTAATTACTTTCTATACATATATTGCCATGTATTTACTAATGAGATTGTGTAACTCTTGTTGGGAGATCTTGTTATTCAGGGGCTTAAAAACCTTTAATAATAACTGTATTTTTTCTTTCTCCCAGTATTTTGGAGCGGCAGGGGTCTGAATACAGCCAATCAGTTATATGTCACTCCTGTAATCAGAAGCTGATGATCTCTTGTCATACTGAGATTTAAGTGATGCTTACATTTGAGTGTATGTTTGATTTTTCATTTTAGCATATAAACAATGAAAAATTTTCTCATCAAAGTAAACTTCATTGCAACTGTCAGTAAGAATACGTTTTCATTTCATTTCAGACATAAGCTATGATTTAGCTTATGTTTTCTTTCCTGTCAGCTATAAGAGCCATCACTATGTGGTTAGACCTACTCATGGCTTGTAGGCCATCTTAGCTCTGGTTTTAGTGAGGCATAGATTTTAATAGTTAATTTCCATATGTAATCTTATAATAAAGTACATAATGAAAGTGGTCTGAGAGATCCCAGAGGATGTTACAAAAGAAATAGATCAATGTTGAGAATGCTGACAACTAGAACGCCTGCCCCAGTCGCTGCTCAGATCTACGCGTGTGCTGCATGTAGACTGTGCCCCACTGCTGTGCCCACCTTGCTTCTTAGTCTCATTAAGCTGAGTAGGAACCTAAGAAAAGATAAACTAAACTCAGATTTGTAAGGAAGTGATGACTGATGGTGTAGCCACTGTGCTTCAAACTTTCGGAGCACAATGGGCAAGCTCATGTGCACTGCATATTGGATGTCAGCTCTTACCTTTAGAATAAACAGTGAAGGAAGAGAAAGAATATTAAGCACAGAAAAGTGGTTAGACTTATTTAGACATATTTTCAGAAACAATTCAAAAACCTGAAGTCACGAGATACATTCTGAAAAACAAAGAAACTATGTGAAATGTTTCATTTCAGCAAAATATCACACTCATAGAATTTTTAAGGAATAAAAATGATGAATTACAAATTTAAAGTATCAGAACTTTAAATTTTGAAACTAAGAATTCTAAAGTTTGTAATCTTTATTGGCAAGGGAGCAAAGCAGATTTCAGTCCAATGAAAGCAGTGACACGGCTTCATCTCATCATGCTCAGTAGATGTTTAATGAAGAAGATAAAGAGTGCTCATCCAAACATACAAATACATGATGAACTGACTTGTCAAAGTTTCCCTTATGCATATGCAACGTTTCCCTTATGCATATGCAAAGATGTTTGTCTTTTATCTTGTTGATAGCAAGTCATGCTGTGTTTGTTACTAATAGGTAAGTTCAGCTCGTTAAAGAAGCACTGCGTTGCAAACTTAATTTCGGTTCTTATGACTTATAAACTTGCCTCATTTTCCTTTCTCTTATGGATCTTGCCACCAACTTGCCAACAGTCCGGATGTTAGCTCTCTTGAGTATTGGATGTCCATTTACTATAATACAAAATATATGATTATATTAATAAATGCCCAATCATTTAATACAATGGAAATACATTACGGTTTTTAAAATCTTGATACATTATAGGAAATTAATTTTGGTTGTGCTACCAGATGCCAAAAAATTGAATTGGGCACATTTCCCTCCTTTTTATACATTGCCAACTGACTTTTCAAACTCCTTCTTGGAGCAAAGAGAAGGTGAGAGAAGGTGCTGAGTCAATGGTTAAGAACACTGCTGCTCTTCCAGAGGACCTAAGCTCATTTCCCAGCATGCAAGGCAGGCAACTCAAAGTCTGTGGTGTCTCCAGCACCCAGGAAAACTGGCCTCTCTGGGTCTCTCAAACATGTGGCATACACTCACAGATACACACATAAACAGAAATAAAAATAAAATTTTTCGAAAAAGGAGATATATATGATAACATAACTAAATTCCCTTGTTTCATAGAAAACTTGAAATTAGATGTAATATTTGCCCAATCACAAGAACATAGTTGTTAAAACTGATAGTATAATTTATAGTATATTAATTTATAAAGTTAATACAAGTCACGGCTGTATAGAGTGCCTGTATTTGGTCCATATTTATCAGGAAAGTCATTCTGAAAGATTTGAATCATGTATTTACTAAAGCCACCATTACACATAGCACCAAGTCACAGATAGGTTTATGCAGCCTTGTTGTTCATATATTTATTGTTAAAAAAACCACAAACAACTGCCAGAAACCATTAATTCTGAAGACATTCTATGTTGCATACAGTCTATGAACAACTTGACATGTAGACTTGAAAAGGCCAAGACTTACACAAGCAAAACTAAATTAAGCCCTGGAAGCAAAGAATCTGAATAGGTGTCACTCCAAAGGAGAGAGAGAAAGAGAGAGAAGTGGATTGCAGGTATGTTCAAAGATGGTCAGTGTCATTGATCATCCGAGATGAGAAGCAAAGCTACAGAATCACTGTTGAAACAGCTAGTACCAAAAAGACTAAAAGAGATAAATGTTGGTGAGGGTGTGGATAAGGGACAATTTGCAGCCACCGTGCAAAACAAAACAGTGGTCTCCAAAGGCACTAAAAAGAAAACTGCCTTAAGATACAAAACTCCCTCTTCTGTGCACATAATCAGTGAATGGAATTTACCGCATTGTTGCAGTCTATCTGCAGCTTTTTGCTCACTGCAGAACCATTCAAAATGGGAAGATGTAGACAGAGATGTCCAGCCAGCAGATAATGGACTCTATCCAATGAAATGTTAGATATTTGACAAGGAGACGCTGATATTTGCCACGTCACGCTATAAGAAATAAGCCAGAAACTGGAAGACATTATACTACATAAAATAACCTTACTTATATGTAGTTTTTTAAGTTCAAAAATACGGAAATAGAAAGTAAGTTTGGACACAGGCGATATGAGCATGGGAAAGAGAAGAGTATATCTATCTCCCTGGTTACAAACTGCAGAAACGAACATTGAAGAAGTGGGAGGAGATCACATGGAACATGAGCACGGTAATTAATAAAGTTGCACTGCATTGAGGATTCCTACCAAGTGAGTACATTTTAGCTGCTTTTGTCAAAAACCAAAAGTAAGTGAAAAATGTGTTAGTCTATGAGATGATGCGCATATTAATTTGCTCTGCCCTAATCACCATTTTACTCTTTACATATATCCCACAACAGTGTGTTGTGTACCTTAAACATGCAGAATAAAATTTATTCTAAAAATAAACAAGCTACAGCATGTTAGGAGAGTTTACAAAATACTAAGGCTTGGTGGTCACTCCCACTGTGGCCGTAGGAAGACGACTACCTCCGTTAGGGTCCTGATCTAATACACTGATCCAAGACAGGCATGTCTTTCAGATGTGATCTTAAGAAGATGTTTTCTATTATAATATTTAACAATGTGGATTGTCAAACATGCATCTCATCAACTGAATTTGGGACATTGTACTTTTCACTTAATATTTCTATCAATCAAATGATGTCTGCAGTGTAATTAATTTAAAAAAGATCTGACTCATACTTAAGTATTCAAAATACAGTTTTAAGCATTATTGTCTATACTGGGATATTATAATAAAGGCTTTTAAAAGAAATTTCACTGATAGTTGGTTAATAGGCTGTTCATAAACATTTTAAGTAAGCAAAGCACCACTTCCCTGTACTGAAGATACAAATATAAATGCACATGACATTGTTTTAATCTTTCAAAGTAAATATTCTTGACATTCATTCATGTCATTTTGCAGAAGAGATTCACAAAATATTTTTTTATTAAAAACTGTCAAATCATGGATACAATATTAAGTGCATTTTAACTTTGTTGCTAGGCTGGAAGACAGGGAAGACAATACAGCCAAAACCAAAGTGAAATTGGTAGCGCTAGTGGGTGTTTCAGGGCTAAGGCTGGTTGTTAGCTCAGGATTTCTGGTAAACTCTGGGTGTCTGAAATAAGGTATGTGAGAGGCACATGAACGGCTGGACACCACAGAGGAGCAGCTCAGAAGATCATATCATCTGATACCTCAAATTAAAAATCTGGCTCTAAGAAGAAATTAAGAAAGCAATTACAACCAAGCCTACTGAAATATATCACTGAGGCATAATTCATTAAATATCAGAGGAGTCACTAGATTTGCAAAGAAGAAAGCAGGTTACATGGCAGTATTTACAAGACAGCATCTGTTTTTAAAAAGTCATATACACAGCAAAATATAAAATGTTAACATCAAAGAAATTTGTATAAGAATTTAGCTTAATATTTTTCTTTGTGTGTATATTTACAAAAATATTATATTAATTGTGTGAAAATAAGAATTCTAGATAATCTTAAGAATCTAGACTAGAACATATGAAAGTTATTTCCACTGCAAATAATTGAGAAATGATCAGAAATCATTTATTTTGTTTATATTTAAATACATAAAGGGTTGCAGGTTGTGAAATGTTTAAATAGAATAAATAGTATTGCAATAGGTATTATTTTAAGCTGCATTTTCAGAAATGTAATGTTAAATTTCCTTTTTCAAGGATTAAAAGTTATTCTGCCTTCTGTTTTTTAGACCATCTACAAATTGGAAAATCACAATTCTGTCTTTATTGTGCAAATTCCTTGACTTGTCTATTATTCTACAGCATTGAATACTTGATTTTACTACATTAAATATATTTATCAAGTGACTTGGAAAGAAAACAAAAAACAAAACAGAGCTTGTGTTCCAAAATGCATGTGTATGTCATGGACTATCTGTTGATTTGGCTAAAACAAATGAAAGTAGTTCGTAATGAAACAATGTGGTCTTCCCCATTAGAAGATGATCAGAGATAATAAATAACAAAATCAATTTCTAGAACATAAAGATGTATTTAAATCTAAATTGTGCTAGATTAAAAGAAATAGATGCAGATCCAAGATGGCAGCACGAGCCACACAGGTAATCTGAATAGCAGCTCAGCAGTGAGACTAGGGTGACCAGCAGGCCATCCTGTGGACCCCCAAACCCTGAAATTCCATGTTTCTCAGATGAAAGGAGAATCCACAGGAATACTCTCCAAGCCACCTGGCTTTCCCAGGCTTCCGCTTGGCACTGTCAAAGCCCTCTGCCACCCGCTCAAACCCACTATCTGTAGATACCTTCCTGGGAGAAGCCCCTGGAGACTCAGACCCTGGACGCTCACTCTCACTGCCTGTGGAGTGAATACCTTCCTGTACTGAGGGTGAGGCTCAAACCCTCCAGGGCCCACTCTCAAAGTCCTGTGGATACCTTCTGGGTACTAGCAGCTCCTGGTTCCACACCTGGGAAAGAACCCTCAACATCCCGTAGACACCTTCCAGGTCTCGGCAGCTAGCGGCACACACTCCCACCACCCTGTAGAGGGATATCTCTTGGTAATGTGGGGGAGGCACTGCTCCATTCTGCCTACTCCCCTCCTGCCTGGTTCACCCAGGTCAGAATCAGCCAGCACAGCACAGACAGTGAACACGGTGGAGCTAAGCTAGGGATGGGACCCAGGTTCCATTCTCCACCATCTTAAAGACGCCTGTGGGGCAGTGGAGCACAGACAGAGAACCCAGTGGAGCTGAGCTAGCACCTGACCCAAGTTCTATTGTCCTCCTCCCCAAGGAGGCCTGTGGATCACTAGAGCAGCTGTAGGCTAGAAGATCTCTCTGCCTGCTCCCCCCTGGGTAGGAAAAAACGAGGCCAACACAGCCAGTGAGCCCAGGGGAGCTGAGCGAGGCATGAGACCCAAATCCCATCCTCCACTGTCTTAAGGAAGCCTGTGGGACACTGGAGCAGCTATAGGCTCAGAGATCTTTTCACCTGTGCCCAATTACCTGGGTCACAAGCAGTGAGCAAGCAGAGAGAGTGAATCAAGGGGAGACTCCGGAGACAGGTGGACCCAGTCTGTGGTCCAGGCTCCAGGAACCACCAGTCAACCAACTAGATGGCTAGAGGCCTGCATAAGAATACAGGCAACAAAAACCAGGACATCATAGTTTCACCAGAATCTCGAAAAATAAATGGATATTCTAATGCAGCTGAAACACAGGAAAATATTCTTAAATCTATAATTATGCAGTTATTTGAGGCACATAAAGAAAAAATGAACAAAAAAAAAATAGACGCACATAAGGAGGCAATGAACAAAAAAAAATAGAGGCCATGATGAACAGACAGGAACCCACAAACAGACAAAGGAAATGGCATAAGACATGACAACAAAATTAGAATCAATAAAGAAAACACAAACAGAGAAAACCCTAGAGTTGGAGAACTTAGAGACGAGATCAGGAACCACAAAGGTAAGTATCACCAACAGAATACAAGAGATGGAAGAGAGACTCTCAGACACTGAAGGTACAATTGCAGAAACCCATACATATCTCAAAGAAACAAACAAACAAAAACAAAACAAAACAAAACAAAACAAAACAAAACAAAAAACCCAGAAAAGTTCCAGACACAAAACATCCAAGAAATCA